GCTCCTTGGGTACATATACGTGCATCAGCAAAGTACATAACTATTTGTTGCGTAACGACTATAAGTGTACGGATGAATAATTTGTACGTAAGAAAATTGAGAACTATGTAAATGACGTGACGGACATTGACAATGTAATTATAATGATTGACGTTTCGTGCAGCACGAACGTCGTGGAAAATACGCTGCGATATTTACCACCATCCTCTCTTTCCCGATATTATAGATTGTACTGTAAATAGCATCCGATTTGGCATTGCCCGTTAGAATGCAATATCACCTCTTTACGCATTCTCTCCGCTTGCAACCTGTTATCGCTTAACGACAATTGTTTGGCAAGAATAGCATCTTCTCGCGACAGTAAGGCACTCGAATGCTTTTCTTGTATCCTCCTCATCTCTCGCATCCGTTCCTCCTGCTTTCTCTGATCCTCGAGTCTCGATATTGTCGACGGATCGTTTCCACCCTCCGTTAACTGCCGTACTCTAACATTTCAAAAATTACAAATCGCAAACGATTTTAACGCGATAAAGTTATGTGGAATAAACTAACGATAATTATGTTGAAAATACGTTTTGATTTTCTTGCATCTGTCATTTGTGACTCGCGCGCATTCTCTTAGAACGGATGAAAACGTGTGTCTGACTTCCACCAGCTGAGAAGAAATATGATGGCATGATTATAACTGCGTCGCATGGCACTTCGAATTAAAAGCACGCACTTTGATGACTGGCAACGACTTTCTTGCGCAATGTTCTACAAGCACTTGCTCTTGATTCGATTTTCTGACCGAATCTTTAGAATCACGTGAACAGCTCCGTGCATTTTTATCCTTGTTATTTATTGGACTCGCAGTTTGCAATTTGTTAATCGTTTGGTGGATGACCAGTCTCTCTTCTATGTCTGACTCAGCTTTTGGAACTTTAGACGTAACTTTATGAACGGCCCAGTCCTAGCAAGGATACAAAGAATCTTCAAATGGATCTTGAAGACATATTTTCGTGTTGCTTTTTGATTCACAAAGAAAGAATTTGTGTGCGAAGCAGAAGGGAATCCGTGATTGACAAAAGTAATTCAATTGTAATACTCTATAAATATTTACATAATTGAACTTTATAGAAATAATATATTATTTAAACTCGAATCGCAAGCTTTCCGAAAAAGAGTTTTGCGATCTTTTTGTTAATGGTACTTCTAATAGCGAGATACTTAAAAAAGAAAAATTGGCAACAGTTTTTACGAGAACTCAAATCATTTAAGAATCAACTTATTTAAGTTGGGAAAATGAATACAATTTATCTACTTACCCTGATTTTCACCAAGGTCGTTTAACTTTGATCTTTGTTTAAATCATCCTTTATCTCTTTCTAACTGTCCCTTGTAGAAAGAGACAAAGAATGAATTAAATTAACAATAAGATTAAAGTTAAGCGACATTAATGAAAACGGGCCTTAGTTAACATTTTAGGATTTAGAACTTTAAAGCACAATTATTTTATACAGAATTTCTTTTGAGTCTCTGGATAGTTTTTTAGATCCTACGTATAGCATCTAATGGCATATATGTATAATACGCACGTTACGAATATGCTTTGCCTACTCGAATTTCTAGAAAAACATTTCAGATTTGCTCTTACCATTTTGATCGAGAATTACTTTTATTATCTTTTTGCCAAGCTATACAGAATCCAACCTTCAAACGTAGTTTTGCTGTCAAAAATAGATCGATTAATTTATGTTTTACATGACTTTCTTCATGGACGTAATGGCTATGTTTTGCCAAATCGGTTATTCTGGCTTCATTTTTTCATAGAGCGCATGGTAGGTTCATTTATACCACGTCCACGACTTTCTTCAAACAATACGCGACTTTCTAATTCTGCGTTATACTTTAGAGTGTGTGCCATTTCCGTTGAGGATAATTGTATCAATCTCCACAGATAAGCAACGAGAGATTCTACGAAATTGTTCGATATGGAAACACATGGTACATGAATAGACAATTCGTTGTGCCACATGTTTATTGATATCTCTTTCTCTTCCATCGGCCTCAACATCTCGCTGAGAGTAAAACACGTCTTACACACTGCTGTTAAAAATATTAAGGAAAGAAGATATATACGTACTTTAATATAAGTTTCCCTGAGTGGGTTTTGTACTTTGGTAATATGGGACGCGATAAACGTCCTACCGTTCATATTGTCAATTAATATTTATGCGTCTTATTATTAATGAGTATTTTCCTCGTATCAACTTTAATTAATACTGCATAAATACACACTACTCGCGTAGAGATGGAAACTCGTTTCAATCTTAATTGAAAGATCTAGGTTTTTCTATGAGAAACATTTTGCGATATCAGCGATTGACATAATTTTTTTCTTATTGACACAGTTAACTTGCAATAAATTAACTGTATGTGTATTTTGACGAGGGATTTGAAACTTTACGAAAGATCCTCGCTAAATCTCCGAATAGTGTGGGGAAATTAGTTACATCAATTGACATAGGGTATCGAAATTGTACATAGTCGATGATTCAGTTTTCAAGATACTGTGTTTGCTGTTCATTATGTTTCGTATCATAAGCGCCACTACGAATATATAAAAAGTTTAACAATAAAGTAAGAGACTACGATACGATATACAATTAAAGATCGCTCGACTCTTCTTGTTCATTGTCTCTTATAAATATTATATGGAGAGTTAGTTTCACCTGTATTTGTTTAATCGATCTATCTATTTCTCTCTTTCCCTCTTTGTCCATAATAGATAGAGAAAAGAGGTTTTAAGCAATAATTCAATCAATGTCGGTGAAACTAACTCTAAGGCACGTAAATAAATATAACGTACTGTTACGTCGCTGTTACAATACTCAATTGCAATTACAAACAAGGCCATTTAGACAAAGTATGTCCTCGTCACGAGTGACTTTATCTTTCGAATAAATGATGATACAATTTCTCGATATTTGAAACATGCAGTATTGAATACAGTTATAGAGTACAGTTTTAGATATTTGTTCGAAATTGTTTTAAGAAATAATTTTGAGTTAACTTATTGTACACACTAATTAACTAATATTTTTCTAAAACAAGATCTCTGTTTTTATAGAAATTTTAACGATAATTAAAGCATGGATATTTTCTCTAATCCATAATTATTATTTCAATTATTAGATATTACGTTTGACTAGTCTCATTAATTAACAATCCAGTTCTATTTCTACGGAGTTAAAGCAAATACAATTCGCTAAGTCAAATCCTTTGATAAATGAGAACTAGTCGAAAATATCAAGTATTCATCAAGTTCTATCGCTGCTGCTAGACCTGCGAGTATAAATGGAAAAGATTAATACATTTTTATTCATATTTCTGCCTCGCATCGTATAAATTACTGCGTTATACTTCAATTCATTGTTACGAGTAAAAGTCCAAATTTTAACTCGCGTAAGTTCATTGAACATCCTAAATAAAGCACGATCCAAGAGACGCAAAATTCAAGGGACTTGCATTGTCTAAACGATTATTATTAACAATTACTGATGTCCACAACCTACGTTGCACCTTATCAGCTACATCTATCGATATATCACACATAAATTATTATCGTCACGTTAAAATGGCTAGTGTCGACGGTAAGTGAAGCGCAGCCGACGTCTACGAGCATGCAGAATTTAGAAGTGCGCAAGTTTCATGATCCAAGGGCGGAAATACCATAGGTGTCATGGTCCAATAAACTCGCGCGTGCACGCGCGCGCGCGTTGACGAGAGAGAAATTAAGAATAATTTGTACAGAGCGCCTGTGGAGCGCGTTTAATTTATTTGCTGAACGACTTGATGATCGACGTCATGCTTTCGTATGTCCCGGTGGCGAAGCCCACTACGCCAATCAACACTATCATCACATCCTTCGCGATCGTGAAGAAACCGAGGCTGGTGTTGTGCCAGTAGACAATCATCTCGATGATCGGCGGAAACACGAGAGCAAGGGCGGTGCTACTGACCGCGCCGACCAGGGATATGAAGAGACCCAACTGTGGTACCGCTTCCGCGAGGATAACTGAAGAAATTAATCAAATTCATAAGGCTCTCGTGTGATAAACACAAATTCGAAGGAATAAAGACTAAAGAGCCGTGGCCGGATGTTAGTGTGTCTAAATAATTCTTATTTTAAATTAACCGAAGAAACAATCAGTCATAAACTATGATGTACAAAATGAGCTATACAGAATTCATAACTGTAGATATAAATCTCTGAATAAATTTTATTTTGTACAAGAGACACTTCGTTGCGAAGGCATAAAATGTTGTCAAAATTTACAATTTGAGGAATAAGTTTGACGAGAATAATGTGAATAGGAGTCATAGGTTTGTAATGTAATAATAATAGAATGTAGTTAAACTCTCCTGACGTAAGTTATACTTACATGTGATAAAGCACATGACGGATCGGAAAATAATCTCCGCGAACACTGGCCATCTAAATGGACCGAATCTGTCAACGATGCCGGGCCACATTATCGCGATCGGGACGTAAAACTGCAACGCGTAGGTAAGCAATATGCTCAAGGAGATGGCGGTCTTGATGCATTGCGGCAAGCTGCAGAGAAATCGAGTTCTGTTAGTCGAAGAAAGATCGCCCGTCATATCTTTCTTAAAAGGAAAACAAAAGCAAGGTGCGATTCAGTTCGATGATTAATACATGCACGAAGCGCACGCGTTATTCACTTATTAAGATTTGCGCGAAATCACGAAGCTATCGTGGCTAATATTATTTATCACAAGGCACAGCAAACGTTTAGGTAAGAACCTTAATTCACTGTGGATGTCTTTCCCGTCCGCCCTTGGAATACAGAAAATCAAACGTTACAACATAATCGCACGACGATCAAGCTAACACGACAAGATAAGTTATAAACAATGTGCCCACAAAGTGGTAATTAATATCGATGCTTACATTTCCTTCTGTGCAAGATTGAGCGTGACCGAACCGGCAATAGCATCACCGTACTTCAAATAAGAGAGGAAACCTATCGCGACGAACATAGAGCCGACTATCACCATACCGACATTGAGAACACCCAGTGGCCTGTTAAAGTTTCTAGGTTTTCTCATTTCGTTCTTCAGTGGCAGTACCTGTGCATTATCAGAAGTGTCAGGAGAATAATTAACATAGAGCACATATTATAATACCAATTTCTTTTTATCAGCTACGTTTAACGAAAAAAAGTACTCACTAGAGTAATACCCTCGAAGGAATATATCACAGTGCCAAAGAACAGAGGTAGGTTTTTCCAATCCGCGACGTATCTCCTCTCGTGTATGGACGGTACGTCGTGGCTCATGATATACATAGTGGCGATGTAACCAGCAATTATTAGGAAATTCGCTATCGAAGACACTGGCACTAGATACTTGAGATTTCTAATCCAAGTGCTAAGCATTATGGGAACCAATACAACGGCCATATGCTCGTGGACATCCATCTCGATCCCATGCGCGTCCAGCACCTATCACGAAAAATAAAGCACTTATTTAATATCCTTATTTTATTGTTAAATATAGCGATTGAAACGTATACAATTTTTGTCCTCTTTACAATAGCTTGTTAATTGTATGCGGTAAAGATAATGTTATCTAGGCATAGCAATTTTTGGGAGGCTTTATATACTTTTTGCGATGGAGAAAAACGAGCATACGGCGAACGAAGCGTTCGTAAAATTCAAAAAGCTAATGGAGTCGGTGAAAGATGCCTTACCTGCTTCATGTTCGTGGAAATGAAAACAAAATATACGCAGCAGAATCCGAGTTGCGTGATACACAAAAATACATTAACCAACTTTCTGCAACAAAATTACGAGAGAGCAACATAAATAACATGCACCTTCGGCAACGCGCTAATATGAAAAAAATTATAGAAAATCATTAAAGGATGTGTGTAAGAGATAAACAGGCGCTGGAAAATAGGCGCGAGTAGCGTCTAGATGGATTGAAAAGTGTGTGTAAGTGAGAACCAAAACGATTGTGACGTGAGTTGCGTGTTCCTTATTATGAGTTTGTGTTCCTTATTATTCTGTACCCCGATAAGAAAATGTTCACCAAATTATGTGACGAAATCTGAATGAAACTTGGAATGCTGAAATTATGCAAACATATTATGAACAACATATGCAGAAATGAAGACTTTGTCAAATATTAATAAATATTTGCACAATGTACAATACAATATTTCTAAATAGTATGTCAGCAAAACAGCTGCGTTTTCGGCGAATCACCTTAATGCAAGCATCGTGAAATTTCCTCCCTTTGGATAATGCAATTATTATTACACAATATTTGAGACATTATCTTATCGGGATAGCTTCGCTGCTTCTCTCATTATTCTTCTTCATTTATTTTTATTATTCTCTGGCTTCGCTGTTGCATCTATCACGCACCTCATAAAAGTCGAATATTTACGAAATCCGATGGGACCAGTAGCGAAGCACATCTCCACAGTTCCAGCAAATCCGCTCGTGTTGGTGCCATCGCCAACACGACGTGTCACCTCCTCGTTGCATTTAATCTGCAAGATATCAGTATCAAAAGTGTGGGTAATTTTTCAGAGTTGTATTTCAGTACGAAACATGTTATTTATATACATGTCGTATATTGAACTTTTCTCCGACAAGAAAGATTAATTAACTGCACGTACGAGAATGTGTTGAGCGTGCACGCAAATGATACCAAGGAAGATCGTCAGCGGGGGTGCCAGTAGCAATCCGGCATTCTTGAAAGCATCTCCCAACGCAAAGATCCCCGAACCGACGTTACCCTTGAACAGATGCATCATGGTTTCCAGGTACCTGCAGTTCGTTAGTGCGTTCGATTTATTCTCGACTCGACGCGATATTTGACGTGACAGTGTAAATTAAGGCGAATCATCGGGATATAAGCGGGAGTCCAATCATTATAGAAATTATATATAAACTTTGAGTCAAAACGTGAATAAGAATATTCAGTATATGCATTCCAAATATGCCGAGAAGGAATCATATAAAACGCGCGTGATTTGCGAGATTTTTGGAATCCTATCAGTCGTGAATTTTGTTCGATTTCGCTTTAAATATGTCTCTTTAACTATAAAAAGTAACTTAAGCATATGATTGCGGCTCGATTTAAATATATCGAAAAATAGTTTACTTCTCAAGAATGTATAGATATATAGATTGCAATTTGTGATTTACAATTAGTAAATACTAAATTCTCATAATCTCGTCAATATCTTTCATAAATGAATTAGTAGTTTACTGCGATATGTGAAATATTTAAGCAGAACTGCAGTACAGATCATAAATATGTAAGTTGGGCTTATATTTCGAAACGTGCTATTTTCGTTGTAATTTGTTGACAAACAAAACTATGTTTCTATAATAAGACGAAAATTGGAATAAATCGTATAAATTTTAATTCAAAGTCTTAGAGCGCTATTCATAGTCACATCTTGTATTTAAGATCGTCGTAAGGTCGTCTTACGCCGTGGCCAATAAAACGTTTCATACAGCATCTTAAGATAAACTTAAGACGGTCTTAAATATAAGATCTGAAGAGCTTAGTTGCGCTAGAGCTTTTGCAGCACGTGATTCCTTATGTCAATAAGATGACAAATGATAAGCGAAATATGATTAATGATGCGAATTGATGTATTTCTAAGTACTGTTAAAAGACAAGTCTTCTCTTGCAGCTCGGCCATATCGATGCATCTATGTACTTTTACGCTGAGAACGTTAGAAAACTATAGCAAGCAGTTTGAAAACAACATAATTCCTGCAGAACGTAACTCTTCCCGGAAAAAAGTAATTGTGATATGCACGGAAATACAGTGAATTAGGCATTTTATCAAGCTATCGTGAACGTGTAACGAGATAATGAAATACTCGCTTCCGTCTTTTAAAATCATACGTTTCACGATCACGTGCCATTTTCGTCGTCGTATCTCTTATCATGTTGCAATATTTGTTTGTTTCTCTAAAATATGTTTACCTGTTGAGATGTGTAATATCGTTTCTCATCGCTCGTGCATTACGCGCGCTAAATGTTCTGTTTCTGTTAACGTGATCTTTATTGGTGCCTAACGCTTTCAATCCATGTCACTCTGCCATCGATCTATTTGTGTTTGTGGTTAGTAAAATTTGGCCGTTTCGTTAACGCCAATCAAACTTACGAGGTGGGATGATGCACGGTGATACCGTGCTCATTGCTTCCACTCTTGATGGCATCGCCGCTCTTCTCCATTGCCAGAATAGGATCCTTCGATTGGAATGCTCCATAGGTCCCGCTATTACTATAATCAAAAAAGAATTGACCAGCCGGGGTAGTATTGTAACATAATAAATTCTTAATCTTCGCGGATGCCCGATCTATTTTTATCTTTTACAATATTCTATTGTCAAGATGGAGGAAGCTTGCAATTAAGCTAATTATTGCCGCGTACGTACATCTAACGATGACCTTGATATTTCACGGGGCTTTCCATGTACGTACAATGGTACTAATCACCGGATATGTACGCGCATGCTGCAATTTTCAAGCGAGATGATCGAATTTTCACAATTAACGTTGACAACAACGTGAGATTGGCGCAGATGGAAAAATATATAGATACTTTTCTAACGAGGTCCGGTGGACATGACGATCATGCCAATGAAACAATACATTCTTGGCAACAATCTGACAACCTGAAATAGCACGTCTATAAATTTCAGGCAGAGATTCGTCCCGACGTTTATCGATTGTTTCCGTATTGTTCCGACATCTTATTTCGTTGCGCTATAAATTACTGCTACTCGAACTTGGAAACTATGCTTTATCGCTATTGATAAGCATACAAATATTTATTGATAAGAGCAAACTAAATAAGAGTAGTCGATGGTGATTTTAATAGGCGTTAACAAAAATTGGTCGTCCACGTGCAGTTAAACCGAGAACAAGACAATTTTTTAATTTACTTATCACAGATCGCACCGGATCGTAACGTCGTTTAACGATCGCCCACGTAATTATGCAACTCGGCGAGTAATTAAGGATTACTCCAACGAAGTGATTAAACACATTTCCCGTATGGCGCGCTCAATCAGAATTAGCAGCGTCGCACACTTGCGACTGCGCTAATCTTCATGCAATTACTGTCCGTCGCAGCGTATTAATCAAATTTTTTATTATTGATTACATAATGCTTCATCTACAACAAAGCTCATTAATGCAATAAAATATCTTGAATTAAATAAACTTATGATGTTTCGGCTATTATCGGATATTGATATGAGATATTAATATCAATAGTTTATTATATTTGTATGTAAAACACAGAAAGAGAAAGAGAGAGAGAGAGAATTTATTACATTATACATTCTCGATCGTTTACGTCGAGATTTACGTCAATGTAAACTTACCCAAGTGGCTGTTTGAAAGTCGTTTCATCGCCGTGAATGGAACTCTTCTTCTGTGAGATCACGGAAATTGGATTGCTGTTCATCTCCATCTGTAAGATAATGAGTATACAGTGAAAACATATTTTCCAATGCTACGAACATGCTCAAGGAGCATGAATTAATACGTATATTAGTTTACTGTACACATTTTATAATCCATAGAGGAAAGTCCCCTATTATAAGATAAGCTTCTAACACGAGATTACAGGTTTTCAACATCCAAATTCAATCACAATCTTCTTTCACGGCGACTACACAATCTAACAATGAATTTTCCGTTAAATAGATCTCACTCCAAGCGCAATAAATTCATAATGGAACGAACAGACGACGCCCATTAAATTACCATTTTGCAATTTTCGCAATAGTTAACGAGTTATTAATTATTAAAAATCGTTGTCATAGATATACATGTATGTATGGACGTATGTACGTATATGTGTGTGTATATGTATAGAACAGTGCTCCTCTAGGCTTTTGTTCTTGCGCGCGGTTCTTTTCGCGAATCTGAACTCGCGCGTTTTTCGTAACGGCACGCACGTCAGAAACGCGTCAAAAGTTCTTTGTTGAATCGTCTAGACGCATTACGACAACATGATGAATGAAACGCGTATGTATACACGGATTAGTCCGACGCCAAGTATGCGGACTGTCATCGGCACGAAGTGCCGACTCGATTATTTTTACACGAGTTGCGCTCTCTCGCTATGGATTGTTTTCTCTTTTTCTCGCAGAAAACCGGACTGCGGCGAATGGAGAGGGATCAAAGGTGATTTCCTCAGTATTATTCCGTTATTAACAACTTATTGTCGTCCCGTCAATTAAACGCGCCTTGCACGCCTCCGTATTGATTGTCTTCTTAATTAATCCGTAGCGTGCGCGGCAACATTTAATCTCGCATGAGAGCAATATAATGTTGAAATGAGAAAATAAAGGAAAAGCGCTCGCTTGCGAGCACGTGCGGGACATGAGAAACGTGACGAGTTTAGCTTAGGCAATAGATCGCAATTCTACACAGATATACAAATCGTTAGAACCATCACTTTTTCATTTTTTCTTTAATTAATCATTTGATGACAATCAACATGCCAGATATAAACGAATCGATCAACCTCGTAAACAGAGTAGTTACTTTGAGTATTGCTTTTTAATTGCGCACGATGTTTTATTCATATAAATTATACGTAACTAAGAATAAACAGCGCGGTTTATTCGTGATACATTCTTCGGTTGATTTATCTCCGATAATATTAAATAAGCCCACATCTGTTTGCAAGCAATTATCGAACTCGGTGCTAGTTTTTTAAATAGTGAGCTATAATAGAAATAAAAATAGAATTTTCTAAAAAGGTAAAGATTTTGTCGACGCTCTCTGTCTGTGTTGCGTAATAAAGACGAGCCAGAATGGTGTTTCTCCGACGTAGAGGACTTCGTAACGTGGAAGTGTACAATCGTCATCAGGCGGTGTTTCTTCAAGCGAAATAAAAAGGGACGACCTTATAAATTAATTGTCATGTAAAATGCTCCGGTAACTATTTCCTGCGCCACTTGCTTTTAATGACGTAAACGATCTTAATCGAGATATCCTTCAGGTTACAGCCTGAGAAGCTATTATACACTTGATGTAAACCCCGTGTCCAACGCCACGTGGAAGCGCTGGACTGTCACACGGCGCAAGTGGAACAACACGAGATATTTACGGAGCTTTTATTGCCATAAGAATGAAGAATAGAGAAATACAGCTAACAACATAATAAGGTGTAGACAAATTACGGGTTATTACAACAATTGCGCGCTCGACGTAGCTTCTGGCTTTGCAAAAGAATAGATAAGAGCCACGTGCAAACGTCAATGCTATCTACAACTTGCACAACAAAAAAATAGTGAAATGTGCTTAAAAATAGTTCGTAAAGATTATGCATTGAATACATAGGAGGAAAAATGGCCGTCTGCGCTAGATAATACCCTCGAATGCAACGTGTAATCTATTGTCGCTTCTTTATGCTAATAGTTCACATATCGTAACCCTTAACCGGATTCAAGCGCCTCGGTTTACACAAGTGGCATAGGCTGTTTTGCTCATTAATCAGATAATTATGCTAGATTGTGTTTTCCACTGTTTCAGAAATATGAGATGTAGTCGGGGAAAAAATTAAAATTCCTGAGAGGCGAGCGTAAATACGAGACAATGGAATTGACGCGGACACAAAGTTAGAGTAAAAATATCTGATTGAATGCGGTTAGAAAAATATGACCGCGTGGGCAAGGTCAGGTCTCGTTACATCATTTCGTTTATTTATATCTGTATTATTTTACTTACTGTTTAAGGTATTTATTTCGTAAAATTATTTATGTGAGAATTGTTTCAAATTTTTACAGTTTATTCTTTACATTAATACTTTACATTAATAATTAAATTAAAATTAACCGTCTCAGAGTTCTAAAAAAAAAAGTTAGAGTTTGCTATGTTACACGAAATATTACGTGTAAAATATTATTACACGTAACAATATAATTCGTTGTAATATTATTACACGTGAAATATTATTTACACATATTAATATGTGTTAAAATATTAATAAAATATTAGAATAAAATATTTAGACACTAACACCCTGTCACGGCTCTTAGTCCTTTATTCCTTCAAATTTGTGTTTATCACACTTGAGCCATACGAATTTTATTAATTTGTAAAATATTAATATTTGCGTTTGCAAGAGCAAATGATGGCACATTTTATTTTGTATAAGCTTAACGGTGAGTGAGATTTGTATGAGAAACAACTATCTTAATACGTAACTGATATGAGTTTTACGATTTGCGACAAATATATTTCCATTTACTCTCTTGTTTTTATATCTCGTGTATCCTTCAAAATATAATGTGCCACATTGAATCACCGATATTAACCTATACATGATTCATATGAGCGATATAGCTCAACGTTGAGCGACTACGGCACGCAGGAAAAATGGAATACACTATTTATAACAGGCGTGACAAATTTCGATTTCTCTGAAAATTAATAGTCCGTTTAAAATCCCCTTTACAACTACAGTGGCATATCCAAAGTGTACATTACGTATTCGAGTTAGTTACTTCCGGTTGATTTGACGCTTTTCTAGACACTACTTTCGTTTAATTCGGCGCTCATGTGGAAATAAACGCGAGTATGGTAAACGAAATTATGCTCGCATTAAAATTTACGATTACGTTTATAACGAGCAGTTACTTTAAGGTGGCTCTCTCTCCTGCACGAAGGAGCAGGTAATATGGGTACTTTGGCGGGGTCCCTTTGATTTTTATAAATTTACATGACTCTTTTGATTAAAAAAATATCACTTAACGCATCATTGATCAAATGCATTGATAGGTTATTTATGCACATTTAAAAACATATTTAAAAATATGTGACATTGTCAAGTCTCAAAGAGCTATCAAATTTCCTCAAAACAAAATCTCGCGTACTGATAGATAAAATTTACAAGTACAACATACTTGAATTTCAATTCTTTTTCTACTTTTGGTCGGTTTATGCAGGAGCCACCTTAAATACGATTAAATCGCACAATTGATATAATCGTTTGTACCAGAATTTCCATTTCTTTTTAATTAAAATGTGATCAGATAAGTCTGATTGAAAGATCTTTCACGTGCAGATGATCAATCAAAATCATTTACAAAGATAGTGCTGAAGATAATTTTATCGAGATATATGTGTCGTGTGTCAAGAAAATAAAATTATAATCATTGGTGAAAGGGAACGCACGTTATATTACAATGATGCAGTGAAAGAAGATGATATGACATTCGACGAAAATTTGTATTCTACCTTCTTATTGTGAGCTAATCACACAATCGTACGGTAAACACGTACTCGACAATGTACTTATCCAATTAGCCAACTTAATGTAATCACCGTAATTGCTGTCGCAATTCGCCAGGGAGTTTATTTTTTCAATATGTCGGTCACGTGATTATTTCGATCAGAGAGGAATGGAGCAGCGGACTAGTATCATTATTATTTAAGTCAATGACAACGAGAGATAATTGTGTCCGGAAACGCCCGTGATATTATTAGATTCTCGTTAATCGTTGGTGGACTCGCGCGGACACGTTTATAATTTTGCGATAAACGAACGAACGGAATGGCGCGAGCATCCGCTAAAACTCGGACGATCTTAAGTCACTGTCACGTGTTTCGCTCGAGGAAATTGCAACGTCTGCTTTAACCGACGCGAATTCACTTTTTGGCAATGTTACTGCCGCCAGCAACGATATTACCAAAATAGAAATGTTCGCCGGCGCTCTCTTAGTCCCCTCAGTCACGTGCACCTTTTATCAGACGCGAACTGCGATTGCGTCAAAGTGCCAATAAACGTTTGACGGTTCTGCCTTCGGAAAGAAAGATAGAGAATTTTTGAAAGGGAGTTCGAGTACAGGTTCCCTACGTCCTCCGAATGACAATAGTGAGCGCAATAATTTATCAAATTGTCACTGAAAGTCATCCCTTACGGAAAAGGCAATGAAACAATTACTAAAACATGTCTGTACATCAGTAATTTCTAATAATTCAATTAGTGAAATGCAGGAATTTTCTAGCACACTAATTATTTCGCATTCTAATCGCAATTAAAACGTGGTCGCGCTGTTTTGTTTAAATTGCCAAATATGACTAAACAACACACGAGAAACGCCCGCGTGCAGGGTACGAGGCAAGATGTAGCCCAATACTTGTAATTTAAAAAATGTTAATTCATGCACCGCTGCCAAATATGATTAGATAATTATTTTTAGAATACGTAGCTGGTAACGAGAAATTGCGCGACGAACTGATACGTTTTGGAGAAACTTAAGACTAAAGCAGAAGATAAACATGTCTAAGATTAAGCCAAAGTGCTCCCGAATAACTCGGAAGAACGAAGATAACTTAAGACGAAGGAAGAGTTTACAGGAAGTAATTATCTTCATGAATGTGAGTCTGCTTGCTAGACATAGAATGACTCAAGTTCGTCTCTGATTTGACGTCTAGTATTTCACAGATAGTGCGTGAGTTCCGGGACACGCGGTATGTGTACGAATGTATACAGATATCGCGCACGGATGGAAGGCAATTCGCGAGTCAATAATATGAGACCGCGATCAGCATGTCACCATGCGATAAGCCGCGACATCGTTTCGCGGCTACTTGCGTGCAAGTATTTCTCGCCTACCTTTATAAAGAAATTCGACCGAGCGGCGCAAGAAATGAAGCTCACTTTCACTTCTCGCGTTCACTTCTCTAAGAGCTGAAGGCACTGAAGCGGGTAAAGGCATCGCTCCGGTCCATCGTTCGCGTAACGCGGGCGACTTAGCGAAATTACGGCGGATTGCCAAAACCGGATGTCTGAGTTTCAATTCAATAAAAAGTATTCCGGTCGTGTCTCTCGATTTTCATTACTTCCCACAAATGTGATGCCATAATTCGCAATTCGCCGCAATCGCCGGTTGAAATTGTTGCACTCGCTATCCTTGAAACGCGTTACCGGGAAAAATGCTCTTTTTTTTTTCTTTCCTCGGCGTATTAACATTTTACGAAGGCGCATGGAAGCATTTTGCATGATGCAATACATAATTGTATCATGTGATGTATACATGATATCCTGGCACACGCGGGTTGCAACGCTTAAAGGACATTCGAGCGGCATAAATTGCTATCCGGTGAATTTTCATCTCGCCGGACACGCGCTTCTCAGAAGCCGAGCCGTGCGATTTCGCGGAACAAGTAGAAAAAATATTCAAGACGTTGCACACAATGCTCCGGTACTAGAATAAATGAATGCACAAAAAGCGCAATAGATCGGAGCGGCCTCTGGGAAATTCGTGTCTTCGTCTACACGTGAAACCGCATATTGCGTTGCGCTTTCACACCGATCGAATCGTATCTGTAAATAACGATATTTCAGCGCTAAGCCTAGTGCGTCATTAAATGCAATTTTGGCCGCACTTGCCAGAAAAGCGTATCGTGCGCTCGACGCGGCTAAAAACAATGTTGTCCGGGCTTCGGAAACAGCTTCGGAGATAAATCAATGTATTTGCAGTTAAAGCTAACTGCCCGAATCAAACTTATCTGCACAAGAATGGCATAGTAAATATTGTCGTAAGAAACAATGTCGACGCGAGCGTGAATGTTCGGAGAAGTAACGCGTGAGGTGGCAGCAGCCGATGATGTCCATCGCCGAAATAACTTTTGCCGCACGGCTATCCGTGGGGAATTCAAATGCAAAACGATAACGATAAGAACCGAGCGAAACCGCAACGCCGAGCGTGTTGTAAAAGTAAATAAACGCAAGTGGCGATTCATAATTCATATTTCTGGCAAAGTCTACCGACGCAAAACGCAAGTTACATTCAAACAAGATAGTCTTCAAACAGAACAAGTCGCTAGTATTGTAATTTACCGTGTAATCTTACTTAATTTAAGCACAAGACTAACACTTCTGCCTCACCTACTATCTCCGTATTAATCTTGCCGATCTTACATAATCTTATTTAATTAACCTTCATTGTAATTCGCACTTAATCTTTTATTACCGGATGCACGCACACGTGCAATAGATAATGAAGTTGCGATTCGATCGTTTCAATTAATAAATGCAATCATTTGAAACCTTAATCGTCAAGTTCTTCGTCTGCGTGCGTATTTATATACAAGATTTTAGAAGCATGCAATCCGCGGGAGAATCTATGTCTATTCAACATAGGTGTGTAAAAATCACTGCCGCCGATAATTTATTCTAAATCAGCTTTTATTCCCTAACTTTCGTTTCAAATTTGACTCCATCAGCGGAAAGCAGTTGCAAGAGGGAAGAAATTACCTTAGAAATGCACTTAAAAAGATCCTGCGAGTTTTCGATTTTATAAAAATAATTTAAGCCTTTTTTTCCCCCCCAGCAAGAACACTGAAATTTTTAACAGCTAAATATCAGCACCAGCGTCGCAATAATATTATCGTCGATTGTTTACGACTAATGCTCGCACGGTGACAACTTTTGCACGGTATCTCTTGCTTGCCACGACGAAAGTTGTAAAACTGCAGAAGAAATACATTTTTGCAAACACACACGACGGTAATTAACGCAATCGCAATTAACGGAAGCACGTCACTTATTTACCGTTCGTTGACGAGCATTGACGAGCGAGATTTCGCGTGCAAAACTTATACGTGACCAATTGTTACGAACAACGGAGATGGTAATACGATTAAGCACGCCTTCGTCTCAGCCCGTTTCTTCAACCAAGGCTGCTTCTTGTTTCATACTTTCGTGCGATAATCGTATGCGATAAGATTTCCTTGATTTACTCGTGTCAATAAGGACCTCCCAGTGAGAAATGATTCGTCGATCGACGTCGAAATGATGTCGAATCGACGTCAATTCGACGGTGTCGACGTCGATCGACGAATCATTTCTCACTGGGCTGTTTTTCCAACCTCTTGGAAGCTAACTAACAGTTAAATTGTACGTCTATCTTTGTCTAATCGGAAGGAAACACAAAGACATACGTATGATTGAACTATTAGTTAACTTACCGAGAGGATGGAACGGCCGGCCCTAAAACCGCAAAAACATGTTATTCTCGCTGGTCCGAAGATAGAAAGAGCGAGGAGTGATCGCTCATCAAGCTGAGGGAAGAGAATCCGCTTAAGACTGTCTTAGACGTAAGGCAAGGTAGAGAAAAGCTGAAATCGTATACAATATACTTTGGCGACTTGTGTCTTTCTCTTGCCTTACGTCTGCAACCAAGACAGTCTTAAGCGTTCACGGGCCGTTCTCTGGCATCAGCCTTGTTCAAAGCTGCACGACGGTAAATAAAGTCTGAGGCACGCGCGACGGGGAAGGTCAACTGACCTGAATTGCAGAATTGAATTGTCGCGGAAACGGCAGCAGGTGACACGCGTACGTTACCTTTCTTCGCGGTGCTCGGCTCGGTTATATCCAGATAATGAGGGAACGCGAGTGCTGATAACCCATGGATGGTGCCGTCGATCGTCGCCGTCCTGCGATTGCACGTTCGACTGCGGTCGGCTGCTTACGCGCGACTGAAACGGTGTCGGTCTGAAACGGTCGAGGAATACTCGGCGCAACAACCACTCGAAGGCTATCTACTTCCTTCTGACTGTTCGCCCGCTGCCGCTGCTGCCGAAATGCCGCGTCCCTTTATTCTTGGCACCGGGGCTTGTCGAAGCCCGCGGGGCAGAGACCGTGTCGGTTTCGTCATCGAGTGGTGAACCGAAAGTCGACCTCAATCTCGAGGGAGGTCGCGGCTCAAGAAAACCCTAGGCTCTCGTGCACTTCAATCTAAGGCCCGGTCGCGGGTCTTATCGGCAGCAGCGAGGTCATAGCGATTGCGAAGGGAAAAAAAAGGCGGAGTGATAAGAAAAATCTGCCGTAACGCAGCGATAAAATTTAGCTGCGAAAAAGATCGCCCGGACACCGCTCGACGGAGCAGCGAGTGGTTCGATCATTTAGCGAATTTAGAAAGCTGAAGACGGACCGCTCGGGGTGATCTCGACTGAGAAAAGGGGGCTAACGAATTTCACGGGTTGGACGAGGGAGAGTTAAAAGTGACCTTCGCGGGGTCGCGGAGAGATCACGATCGAACGAATCAGCTGTCGCATCAGAGCGTCGCGCCGCGCGCGAACGCGACCTCCTTACACTTTCTCATGACTGCAATTAAAGATTAACAAGTCGGGACGCAACTTGCGTGGACATTGTCATTCGTTTCGTTAGCACAAAAGGCCTCAATGGCGCGGCGCGCAAAGACTGACGTGTCAATGTCAACGCACTCGGCTTTCGGCATCGACGATTGAACTTCGCAGACGCCGTAACGAGCCAATAAAGGTCAGAAGAGCAGCGGTCGCGACGGGAACGGGTTTTTTTTTCTGGAATTTCAACGACGCGACCAACGTCGCAAGGTTTGCGGACAAGCCGAATGCAAACTTGACGCCTAATGAACGTAGGATACGTCGCGACATGGTTTAAAATAACGCCGATAGAAATCCGACCTCGCTATTGACGCACGTCCTCGACTTCGGCGCGAAGGTTCCCTTTCGGCTCCTTATTTGAAAGTAAGAGCGCACTCGAGGCACCCAAGGCCCCTCCGCGCACACATGCATATGCACGGACCGCAACTAAAGGCGAGCGATCGCGAAAGCGATAATATAAGAGGCGTGGTAAGGAGCGAGATAAGGAGCGTGCACACGGCTGTGCATTGGAAAATTTATGCTTATCAAATCCGCGACTGTGCGGCGAGCGACCCGGCCCTAACGAAAGCGGACGCCGACACGCGCGCGGCACCAGAAACAGAAACGAGGTCGAGTACGTGCGGTTTTATAAGCGTGGGTTGACCTTAAATCATCGCGCGGAACGTAAACGCGTCATGTACCTGCGTGCAAAGGTACGCCCGACAGATGTCCATTTTATTCTTCAAGATACCTTGTCGTTTCGCGCGTTTCGAGTGGAAAGCGGAGACTCTAAGGCTGATGACAGACAACTATCCGTAAGGCCCGGTCTACAATGAGTTGTTAGTCGTTAGTCAGAAGTCGGAACTGTATGTCGGTCCTTTTTCTTCCACCCAGAAAGGAAAAGGATCAACATATAGTTGCGACTTCTGACTAACGACTAACGACTCATTGTAGACCGGGCCTAAGCGCTTACGGACTTACGTAAGCCGTAGACTTAAGGTAAGGCAGAGAAAAACGTAAGTCCGTAAGCGCTTACGGATGGTTGTCTGCCATCAGCCGATCTCTTCCACGTTGACGCAATTTTTCGAGAAGGGCTCGCCTTGCTAAAAAATATACGCACGTACACTGAGAAAACTTTCCATCGGATAAACCGATTACATAGCGTTTCCGACGGTTAATTTTTGCAATTACGTTTACCGATTAAATTATGGATACATCCGATGAAGTTGATCCGAAGAAATGCAGTTATCGTTGAAATTTGATCGAAAAACCGATTACATTTTTCATCGGATCTTAGCCGTTTGTTATTATGCAACTGGATTATCCGATTACATTTAATCGGGCATTTTTCTCAGTGTAGAATCAATCAAGAACAGATGAGCTCTCGCCTTGGCGGCTCGGTCTCTTACACGTAATTGCCGTTCTCCCGCGTTGCGAAATCTGCGAGTCCCTGGCGAGGAACGCAGATACCGCGATCGGTTACTCCGCGAAACTTCGCGGAATTGCCATCATAAACGGTTTCATCAATTCGAGTAATACCCGTCGTGCGATTAGTAAGTTTGCTCTAGGTCCACTTATCAGCCGCTGGCAGCTTCTCTATTGGGGAGAGCCGCGTAAAATATCGCGAGAGCTCTGCTTCGCAATCATAAATCTCATCTTGAAGGGCTGATACGTGGATCTTCGAGCTACTCGATAAATAACACGAGTAAGTCTGCATCTCGAGCTCCCGAGAGACACACGTTTCTTTCTCCCTTTTTTCTTTACCAATTCGAATCCTTAAATATCAGATACGTCTAAATAATTTCGACAAGTTAATCTTAATCGCTTAATTAAATTAATTATATTACAATCAGCGAAAATAAATGGAGATTGCTAAATAAACCCGCGCGATTAAGTCGAACGTGATAATTTGGAGAACAAATACGCTGATTAGATTGTCGCGTAATGGAACTTTATTATTCGATTGCTCAATCAATGTTAATTAATATTTTTCGCGAGCCCCGAAAAATCTGTACGAGATAGCGACGCTTCTACTACGTTGACAGTGTAAAAGCTATGGTCCGCGGCAATTTATCATGTAATTTATTTGTTAGAATGTAACCAGTTCGATAACCGGCACAGTCCGCGCGGCAAGACACAAAATTTTCCATTAGGATAATGCTTAGGAAAACAAAGTAAACATGACTGTATGTTTTATCACTACTTCCGATAAAACGTCAGCCCTACTCTACTCTACTACTAGCTCTACTATGGAAAAATCCTATGGAAAAATCCTATGGAAAACGGTTGACAAGATCGATCCTGAAAGAGTTCTGTGGCCACACGTAAATTTGGTAAATATTATAAAATAATAAACTTCAAGGGATTGCTTGACTGGCAAATTTTAAATTAACATAAAAATTTGCCAAACATGGTCAAGCAATCCCCTGAAGTTTTTAATTACTTCTGACGACTTATAAAATTTCCTCCGTCATTTAGAAAATAATGTATGAAATAAACAAAAAATTGAAAATTTATGCGGACAACCTCCTGCCATTGTTTCTATTTCTAACGTTTTGCAATTAAAATTACGATTCGTTACAGGTTTATAAATTCCTCCAGGCCCATAAGTATTGTAAAATAATGTATACAGTAAATGGAAAATTCCAAAATCCCTGCGGACATCCTGCCATTGTCTTGAGCTCGAATGTTTTGCAATTAAAATGACGATTCGTCACGGGCAAGTTCCTAAGTTACGATTTGGAACGAAGCAATGTTATATAATATAGGCAGATCGCGTTACTGGAATTTAAGTTTATTTTATATTTTGCAGAGCCACTATTTAGAGAATCGGTGCCAAGATGCGTGGTCTCTCGGAAGAAGATCCAAAATAGCTGACGCTTTCGGCGGCTGGTCAGTGACCGACGCTGACCGATGCATTTCGCAATTCTTATAATATACGAAACAATACAGCGCTTCCACATACAACAAATGCCCATATAAATGTATTAAGAAAGAAAACAATAGAATCTTTTAAACATTGATTTAGATTCTAAAACATAAAATTTGTAAAATATACCGACTACGTTTAAATGTATCCCTCGACCGCTAATACTCTCGTCGCGTAGTAGTCACTTAAATAGTCACTTAATTATTTGTCTTTTTTTCACATGGAACATTAATTAATAAAATATAAGAATATCATCGATAAAAATTTTTTACTTTTAATTATTTTGTCGGAAAAATGCAGTCAATCTCAAGAAGTAAATATTTTAATCAAACGTGTCTGTACAAAACGGAATCACTATCAGTACATTCAAAATCATACTTTTTTTTTTAATATAAAATTAAGACACTAGAGACAATTGTGAGACGATGCTAATTCAACTTCGTCAAAAGGGCGTTACTTTTCGATCGTACTAAAAAGCTTCATCGCTTGCGGTAACATCAATATTTGTCTTGTTTCGCACAGTGAATAGCTACCAAGTGACAAGAGTATTATGAAATATCAAAGGTCGATACTTAATTAATGAAAACGAAAACGGGTGCAAGATATATGAGGTTGGTGGTCAAAAGCAAATGTCATCAAATCAATGTGTCAAATCCGTGCCAAACGGGAGGCTGTATTGGTCCCAATTTATCATCAACTCCGATTCGCAGACCAAAACTCGCCCTGGCAGTCGTCCGTCTTGTTGCGCAAGGCTCGGAGACCTTGACCGACGCGCGGTATCTGGAGTTTGTTTTAAATGCTCAAATCTTTCTATAGCATCTCGCATCGCATTACGTTTTTATCATCTTTTTGACGTAATCGAAAAACACCTACATATATATCACTTTGGACAATTACTAAATTCAATACAAACTCCATGCCTGTATTAGAATTCAGTGAGCTGCAGTGGGGTTTCTTTTCTCTTCAATAACAGAGCAAAACGGTGCAATATACAACTGCGTATATAAATTTTTTTTTCATCAACGTGCTACACAGTGTTAGAAAAGCTGGCAATTGAGGAAACGGAAAAAAACAAATGCGTTGCCGAAGCGGATTCTATGTAACACTACATAACGTATAAAATAAATTATTCGTTTAAATTAGCTTAAAGGCGAATGCACTTGAGGACGAGGACGTCGTTTTACTCGTTGGCAGCGAGCGCGACCACCGTGAAGCGCACTTCGTTGGGATCGCGTTCCATGTACTCCTTGCACACGCGAGCGGCATCGTCCAGGAGTGCATCTGGTGTGGTCGAGCCGTGATTGATAGGAGCAGATTTTCGACCGTCTGGAAAAACAAGTACCTGTTACCGCATCTCAACTTAGCCGCGTAAAGCAAATAGTAGATGAACCTTTGCGTACCTAGCTCGTACAAGGAACCGTCCTTATGTACAAACGCGACGAAGTGGTGGTACACCTCCATATCCTCGGCTGGCGCCTGAAAGAAGAGGGGAAACGCATTTGCAATTTACAGTTTGACCAGTTTTCACCCACGTCGTTTAACTTGCAGCAAATTCGGTAGCTTGCACTAGTGCACACTCAGTCCACTAAGACTCGTTTACGGTCAATTCTTATATTTAAAGATTATCTTGAATACTTGGAGAAAAGACCTTTCGGCCGGTAAAATAATCCGTACAGCATCTGTACAAATCACTTTTCGGCTAAATACCCTTTGGACATGTATTTGCGACAAAGTTAAATATAAAAATTGACTATAAACAAGTCTCAGTGCACACTGAGTGTAACAAGCAACTGAATTCGATATCACTTCAAATCATCTCTTTTCAAGGGAACAATTAAAGAGGGACAAAGGATGAATCGAACTAAGATGAAAGTTAAACAACGTTGATAAAATGGGCATGAAAGAGACAACCACGTATCGCTTTCAATTACGAAGTAGCCAAGTACCTCGGTCTGTCCTTCCTGGGCAGATACCATGTGAGTATCAATGATGTCTTGCGAGTTTTCCAAAAACTTGCCACGTTCGGCGTGCGAGAGCTCTTTGGTGTCATCCAAAAACTTCTTGAGAATACCATCCTCCAACTGTATGCTGTAACGAGAGGAAGAGACATTGGCTTCATCAATGCGACAGACCGGATCGTGTACGATCGCTTACGCGTCCAAATTGTTCGCCACGCTGTGAAGCAACGCGATTGTCCCGCACGCGTTTGAAATACACTGCTTCATGTAGTACAAAGAGTCGGGGGCGTCGTTCTTGCTGTCCTTATCTTCTGCCTTGTCCCATTCGGTCTTCCCGCCCTGCGGAGACAGCGAAACAAGTCTCACTTATGGACACTTTGTCGTATCGTCGCGCGCTGCGTATTTACCTTCGGAAGGGGATAAAGCAGAATGACAGCGAGGACGGGCCTAGGGACGATCGCCAGCAGAACCGACTCCAGACCGTACACGTCCAAGACCGACCATTTCTTTGGTACGCCCAGTTTGTGGAGGAACTGCAAAAACAGACATCGTACGCTAAACTCATGCGTGCTCGAGGAAATCCATGGGAATGGAATTTCCTTCACGGCCGGCACGTCGCGCCGAGGAAGCAATGAGATCGACCGGCCGGACGTCGCCGACTGCTTACCTTCGTCATAACCTAAAACAGAAGAGTCACGGTGGCTATGAATCGCCGCTCGAGCGAAGGACGCGTGAGATCGCGACTCGAGGGTGAGCTCGCTTACCTCCGGGTTCGACTCCAGGGGCACCCAGGCCATGTTGAATAGCGCGATAATAGCCGCACGCGAGTGGATTCCGTTCGAAAACGCCGGCAAACCGTCCGTCCCACCGAGAGCCGAGCCAGTCACCACGTCGATTCAAATCCGTGCGGTCCCGTTTCCATGACGAGACCGCGCGCGCGAGAAACGCCGAGTCACACCGCTCTCGATAGTCTCGATTCTTGAATCGCGCGATATATCGCCCGCGGAGGAAAGCCGCGAAATACCCTAACCTTAATAACGTTCCGGTCCGGGCATCGAATTCGCGCAGCGAGCAACATTCATGTGCAGCAGCGGAAAAACGTGATGCCGAGCCGGCGAACGAGATATCCATAGTGCGCTGATCCCCCCCTGAGATATTGCCCTACGCTTTATTCGGTCTAGACGAGTTTTTACTGAGCAAGACCCGAGGAAGGGTCGAAATGTTTATGCTATTAAAGAGAAATTTTGACTCTATATTGTGAAAAACAGAGTTCCGTTCATTTGTGGCTCGCATTGGCGCTCCCTCCTTTTACATATTTTCTTTCTGGGGGTCCCATATTGCACCAAAACTTTCAGAAACATTGCAACAATGTTTTCTGAAATGTTTCTGAAAGCTTCGGTGCTGTACGGGGCCTTCGCAACACTTTGGAGTATTTCGTGTTATTCATCGAAAAGATTCCGTCGTTGTAGCGCGTTACTTTTTGTACGGGCAGTAGATTGCACGAGCAACTTATCTTCATCTGCTTTGTAGATTGCATCGGATATCGATGATACTTAAATTATACTGTAAACAGGACAGCACGACCGAATGGGGGACCAAGGTGATCAGAATGTATTATTGGCCGGAGATAACGTGGCTCCCCCGACGAGGAGGTAATATATTTACACCGAATTAACCAGGTTTATAAAATCTTGGAAGATTATCAATTTTGTAGAGATATATTTTTGTCAAGATCTGTAAAGATCTCTGTTGTGAATTTCCTACTCGAGTGCCGTCCAAATTGTTGAAAATCCAAAAAAGTTGATACACAACGTCAGAGGACATGGGCTGCTCGATGAAAAACGATCCTTTCTGCGAGACCTAACGTTCTCCAAGTTTGTCGCCTGAGGTCCTGAATCACCCTGTATATCTATGTATATTTATATTAAATGTAGAATAATTGTAATGGTAAATATCGTGTTTAAACTCTTTTCTCCAATGCTTTTATGGTTTCTGCAAAATTACAACGTTCCGTAAGGATGTTAAATGGTAATGCATAAATTGTGCACTAGGGTCGATCAACAAAGTGATCTTTGTCCAAAGAAAATAAGTATGGAGTGCTGGCCTCTAATCTAATCTGAAAATATGGCACAAAACAACGTACAGAGATAGAATTCTCGTCGAGATTCAATGCAACCGATAGGAATAAAAGCCTCGTCCGACAATCGTATTGCACTCACTGCAAGTTTCCCGGCAGGACGATGCTGTTTCTACGCTTCTGGTGCGCCGTGCTGATCCTCTGTATAACAGCAGAGGCGTACGTTAATGTGGTAACGAGCTGGGACGAGGACAACTTTGCGCCACTTTCGGGAGACGCGCCGAAATATGTTCCAACTTGGCCCAGTCTAGACAGCCGGCCGCTTCCGTCCTGGTACGATGAGGCGAAGTTTGGAATCTTCATTCACTGGGGTGTATTCAGCGTGCCCAGCTTCGGCTCCGAATGGTTTTGGAATCACTGGAAAGGTCGCGCATACACCACCGTAATTCTTATATTAAAAACTATCATGTAAATTGACATCCTGTACAACTCGTGTAAATGATATATTGCAGAGGAAATTTTCACTACAAAATTCCGAGACTTCATGAAACAAAGGTACCCTCCAAATTTCACCTATCAAAACTTCGCGCGGGACTTCACCGCCGAGTTCTTCAACGCCTCCGACTGGGCAGAATTATTTCAGGCGTCAGGTGCGAAGTATATCGTATTGACGAGCAAACATCATGAAGGATACACAATGTGGCCGTCGACGTATTCGTTCAGTTGGAACTCCATGGATGTGGGGCCGCAAAAGGACCTTGTTGGTAATAAAGACACGCATACATATCTTACAATAAGATCTTGCGTTAAACGCACATTCTTATAAGTATCCATTTTTCTGTGAAATAGGTGAACTGGAGAAGGCAATTCGAGACAAGACGGGTATAAAGTTCGGCTTGTATCATTCCCTGTTCGAATGGTACAATCCTCTCTATGTAGCAGACAAAGGGAGCAGTTTTGCAACGGACAGATTTGTGACTCAGAAAGTGATGCCGGAGCTACGCGAGTTGATAGAAACGTACAAGCCGGATATAGTTTGGTCGGATGGAGACGGAGAGGCAACGGATTCTTATTGGAAGTCAAAGGAATTTTTAGCCTGGCTGTACAACGAGAGTCCTGTGAAAGATACAGTGGTGGTGAATGATAGATGGGGTATTAATATATCGTGCCATCATGGTGGTTTCTTTACGTGTTCCGATCGTTTTAATCCCGGTAAATTATTGTTGTTATTATACTTGTTGCAATTATAATTGCCAGTATGCATTAATAGTAATTAACGGATCGTTATTTAACGGTAGCTGATCGAATTGTTACATTAACAAGAATTTGCTTCCCAGGTGTGCTTCTTCCGCACAAGTGGGAAAACTGTATGACGATCGACAAAAAGTCCTGGGGATATCGCAGAAACGCTGTTTTGTCCGAATACTATACGTTGGCTGGATTAGTGAAGGAGTTAGTGATTACTGTAAGCTGCGGTGGAAATTTACTGATGAACGTTGGACCAACAAAAGATGGTATCATCGCGCCGATATTTGAAGAAAGACTGCGCGGAATGGGTACACATCTTTCGTATCTTATCATATTTTTTTATTAGTTACCCGATTGCGTTAAATATCAATTTTCTGATAATCTTAATGATGCACAAGTAAACTTCTCGTTTCAGGCGCTTGGCTAGCAGTTAACGGCGAAGCTATTTACAATACTAAGCCTTGGACAGCACAAAATGATACTTTAACAGGAAGCGTCTGGTACACGTTAAATAATAATGAGAAACAGTTGTACGCCTCAATTTTGGAGTGGCCAGATGATAATGTCTTGTCGTTAGGCTCGCTCAAACTTTCGACCAGTTCCCAGATGCATTTACTTGGTTATCCATCAGCAATTTCTGTAAGTGCGTTGCTATTTACTTACGCATTTGCGAAAGTGATAGTAAAGTAATTGTGTACATATATATTGTAGTGGAAGCAGTCCGATAAGAAGCTGGAAATAAATTTGCCTCCTAATGCACATAAAGGACAGCCAGCTTGGGTGTTAAAGATTGAAAATAACACTGATGAAATATAAGACAGTATTTTATATGTAAATATAGATTTTCTATAATGTCTATGTATATTTTTATACGTATGTAATATTAATTTTAAAAAGGTACTTTATCTGATAGACAAAAACTTTAGAAATACACTTAAATCATGAACGGTAATTTTTATTCAGAAAATTTTCTTTAATAGAAATCATAAACATATATATATTGTGCAATAACAATTCATAAAATGTTTGAAAGTACGTGTAGAACAAAAACAAATGGTTATACACTTTGAATTCCGGAGAAACGAATAATTTTAAATTTGTTCGAGTCTTTTCTCTCTCCTGTTAATTCAAATTCATGCGATCTTGTTTTCATGAGAAGCAAGACACAAGTCGAGAGAAATCTCGCTCTCGAATCGCGTGACACGATTAGTAGTGAATTGTTATGGGGTGTAAGTATACATACAGTATGCATCAGGCTGGCGACCACTGGCAATCGTTCTGTAAAATCGAAACAAATAATACTACATTTTTATACGAAAAGTAGAAAGCTCTGTAGTATCGTAACGTATCATTTCTCGCACTTACGCAATTTATCTACATCTACTCTCTTCTCCCCTGACCCTTCTCTCTCTTGCAACATAAATTGTATCTCGGATGATATTTTTTAAACGTGATAGTGGGGTCAAGATGAGAACGTGATTATGATCAGTTCTCAAAGATAATGTACATGGCTGATGAGTAGATAACATTTGCATCGATTAATATTATAAAATGGAAATTGTTAATCTAGTAGCTGTAGCTATGTGACAATAAAACTCACTAAATTGTCAAATGTATAATTATCGTTTTGACATGTGTATTGCACTTTTTTGTCATCACTTATGAATGTGATTTAGTTATTGAGAAAACCGATATGTATTTAGTGTACTGCAATATAACTAAACGTGTAATAAATGAACCTTATTTTTGAGCTCAACTCTTTCTGTGGAATTCCAGTGTTTCGTAAACAGTGCCCGCTTAAATTTTACGTGCATGTTACCAATATTGATTAGCGACACGCAGCCTGTTCTAAAAAATACGCGGCAACGATCTAATCTAATCTCGAAATGCGATACAAAACAGAATACAGAAATAGAATCTTCGCCGAGATTTAATACAACGGATTGGAATAAAAGATCCATGTGACGCCCGCTGCTTTCATTACAGCAAGTCTCGCTGGATCAGAATGACGCTGTTTGCACGTATTTTGTGCGCTGTGTTGCTCCTTTGCGTGTCAGTGAAGACGCATTACAATGTGATAGCGAGAAAGGGTGTAGAGGAGAGTTTCGTGTCGACAACAAAAACGCCCAAGTACGTTCCGACGTGGTCCAGTCTAGACGGTCGACCGCTACCATCCTGGTACGATGTCGCCAAATTTGGAATCTTCATTCACTGGGGTGTATTCAGCGTGCCCAGCTTCGGCTCTGAATGGTTTTGGAATAATTGGAAAGGTTGAGTGTTAATACTTTTCATGCTTATGTCACGCGCGTAGACAATATACTACTATTTATGTATGTAACGTTGCAGAGGAGACTAAATCCACGAAATACCACGACTTTATGAGGCAAAGGTATCCTCCGAACTTTACCTATCAAGATTTTGCGCGCGACTTCACTGCCGAGTTCTTCAATGCTTCCGAGTGGGCAGAGTTGTTGAAAGCGTCAGGCGCCAGGTACGTCGTGTTGACAAGCAAGCATCATGAAGGCTACACGTTGTGGCCGTCAACGTATTCGTTCAGTTGGAATTCGATGGATGTGGGGCCTCAAAAGGATCTCGTTGGTAACGAAGATACATATCTAACAATAAGATTTCGTATCGAGCACGAATGTTCCTATACATGTCCTTTTGTTCCAATGAAACAGGCCAACTAGCACAAGCAATTCGTAACGAGACAGACATAAAGTTCGGCTTATACCATTCCATGTATGAATGGTACAATCCTCTTTATGTAGCAGACAAAAGAAACAATTTTACAACGGATAAGTTTGTGACCAATAAAATAATACCAGAGTTACGCGAGTTGGTAGAAACGTACAAGCCAGAGGTAGTTTGGTCAGACGGGGATTGGGAAGCGTCGGATGCCTATTGGAAATCAAAGGAATTCCTCGCATGGTTGTACAACGAGAGTCCTGTAAAAGACACAGTGGTGGTGAACGATAGGTGGGGCAGTAACATGCCGTGCCGTCACGGTGGTTTCTTCACGTGCACCGATCGTTTTAATCCTGGTAACATCAAATTACAACATTCCAATGCCAACTATTAATGTATAGAGTTATTGAATGAAGATTTGCATTACGTACACAAGGTAGATTTGTAAATTAACAACTGCCTTCTAGGTGTGCTTCTTCCACACAAGTGGGAAAATTGCATGACTATTGACAGAAAGTCCTGGGGATACCGCAGAAACGCCGTTTTGTCCGAATACTATACGCTGGCGGGATTAGTGAAGGAATTGGTAATTACTGTGAGCTGCGGTGGAAATTTACTGATGAACGTCGGACCAACAAAAGACGGCATTATTACACCAATTTATGAAGAAAGATTGCGTGGAATGGGTAAACATCCTTCGTATCTTATCATATTTTTTTTACAAGTGTCTCGATTCAATTGTTAATTTTTTTATGATCTTAATGGTATACAAGTAAATTCCTTGTTTCAGGCGCTTGGCTAGCGGTTAACGGCGAAGCTATTTACGACACTAAGCCCTGGACAACACAAAATGATACTTTAACAGGAAGCGTCTGGTACACGTTAAATAATAACGAGAAACAGTTGTACGCCTCAATTTTGGAGTGGCCAGATGATAATGTCTTGTCGTTAGGCTCGCTCAAACTTTCGACCAATTCCCAGATGCATTTACTTGGTTATCCATCAGCAGTTCCTGTAAGTGCGTCGCTATCTTTACTTGCGCATTTGCAAAAGTGATAGTAAAGTAATTTTGCACATACCTTTTAGTGGAAGCAGTCCGATAAGAAGCTGGAAATAAATTTGCCTCCTAATGCACACAAAGGACAGCCAGCTTGGGTACTAAAGATCGGGGTTTAAAACGTACACACATTTACGACTAAATAATACTAATTAAGTGTACACATTTTACTCAGAATATATGTATTTTATATTATTTTCAGTAATATACACAAATTGTAAAAAATAACATTTCCATAAAACTTTTTGGAGTAAAAGGTGTCGAATACATCAAAACGCAATGTTTTGTAGCTGAATTCGTTTTAAAGTTAAAAATAAAATACCAAGCACCTCTTTTATAATCTTGAGATTAATGAAAGCTAATAGCTTCAGTTAAAGTATCAGACGTGAGCCACTTCGTACAGATAAGCTCCAAGTAGTTTCGTCTGGGAAGAATAGAAAGAAAAATTATTTAACATACCGGTTATAACGGAAAAAAGTCGGGCAGGAAATTTTTGACGGAGTTGTTAATCGCAATAATTATGCTTACCCCTTGGATGTAGTTGAATATATTTAACTTCTCATTTTGAGAATGTGCACCGTCGTCACCCTGGCCGACTGGTAAGAGCAATACATTTTTACCAGTGACCTCCTGGAAAGTCAGGGTAACTGGTATCGAGCCGCCTTCGCGAGAGAGATCGGGCTCTACATTGTAAACATGTTGAGTCGCCTTGCGACCAGCTATGTAATTCGGATGATCAGGATTCTCGGACCACGGTTTACCGCCGTGGAACATGCTCACGTTCATAGTATTTGGACTACCCCGTTCTTGCCACTTCTTATTTATATACGCGACCACCTTCGCGGTCGTCTCGTCCGGCGTCATGTGCGGCACTATTCTAATGGAAAACTTGCCAGTGACTTTACTCGGAATTACCGTTTTCGCTCCTGGCTCGCTGAAAGCACCTTCTATCCCGTGAATAGATAAACTGGGCTGCCTCCAGCGATGCAATAGCAGCTTAATCTGCAACAATTCGCATCGCAACATATATTTTACGTTTGAAAATTTATAAAAGAAAGAGTAAATATATACACACACACCTTATCTTCTTTATGCGCTAGTTCCTTAGTTCCAACTGTTTCTCTAAACTCGTTAACATCAAAATCTATATCCTTGTAACTGGCTAATTCAGCTTTCGTGAGTTCTGCCACGCTACTATAAATATCGTCTATCAAAATCCGACCGTTAACATCGACCAAGGTATTCATTAAGTAAATCAGGTCTGCCATAGCTTCGTATACACATCCACCAAAGGTGCCGCTGTGCAAGTCCTTGGTTGCGCAATTGACTTCTATCAGGAAATAGCAGATACCTCGCAGGCCGTAAGTGATACATGGTTTCTTGGTGCCCAGCCAATAATTGTCAGATATGCAGACATAGTCTACGTTCTGTAGAAAACTGTCTTTCCTCTCCCAAAGAAGCTCATCCAGGCCTTCGCTGCCACTCTCTTCCATTCCCTCAAAGACGAACTGCGCAAGAATTCCAGGCGATTAAAAGTATTGTAAATCAGTCGACCACACCTCAGGCGTGAGAGCGTTCTTTGCCTCCGCTAGAAAATACCTTGAGATTAACAGGGATATCGATCCCCGTTGCTTTGTAAGCCTGCAACGCGTGTATCCAACAAAGAACCGGCCCTTTGTCGTCCGTGCTGCCTCGACCGAAGAGCTTCCCGTCTTTCTCAGTAAGGACGAAAGGCTCGGTGTCCCATCCGTCCGTCTTGAGCGCGGGCTGCACGTCCAAGTGTCCGTACAGAAGTACAGTTTTCTTCTTCGGGTCCTTGCCGAGGCTGCCGAGTAGCACAGGAGGCAGCGGGATCTCCTTGCCGTCGGGGAGAGTCTGCATGCCGACGTCAGCCAGTTCCGTGGTCGCCCCGAGGTCCTTCAGCCTCACCTCTGCCCACTTCATCATTTTGACCACTTCGCCCCGGCAGTTCGCCCATGCCGACACCGACTTGATAGCCACCGCCTCCTTCAAGTTATCGATATATTCCTGCTTGTGCTCGTCTATGTACCTGCAAAAGGGGACACGAGTGAGGGTGAGCGAAAGACGTACATACGCGCGAACAACTGTGCACGTTGAAGCAGCCGGAGAATCTCTCCTGGCGTAAGATTAGAGGCACTTTGAAGAATAAAGCGAAACGTACTTGAACAAGGTTTTCAAGGCTGGTGGCAGTGCCATGATGGTCGACGATGAAATTCCGCTCGAACGTAGACCAAACGCGACAGAAGGATTCTGGAAGGCAACTGCCGACTCAACCTGGACAAACGTTATCGCGATATAACGCGTCTCCTCCCTGCCTAGCTGCCCCTCTCTCTTTCTCTCCGAGAGAACGCAAACGCACGGTATGTAACGCGATATACTTCGCTGGCAGCAACGCGGAGATTACCGGTTAGCGACGTCTGATTCCTGAGTGCCTGATCTTCCGTTATTATTCGAACGTGGAACCAATCGAAGTGGTTTTCACCCAGGGACTCATGGAAACGCAATTATCGCGCCAGTTTCGCGCCGACGCGTTTGTAAACGGGTGAAAATGACAAGTTATCAGCGTTATCTACTCGTCATTATAGTCTTTTGCACGTGGCGGTGCATGGTAGATAAAAACGCTCGCATTATCTGCTATCGCAAAACAGCGGAGTACACGACATTGGCGTAGAACGCCCCTTTTCCATCTTGCTCTTCTCGCGACGACATCTTCTCGTAATGCTCTGTTTGACGCGTTGTACGCTTGTCTTTGTATCACGTGTAGCCTCTTGTAGGCGAAAGATTCGAAATTTCCTTCAGTCGTAAAGAGACGGAAAACGCGGACGAGCGATTGTCTCCGTTCTACCTTGAATACGAAAAATAGACGATCTTTGTAAACGAGCGTCGTTGTTTAATCCAATTTGAAAGACACGATTAGGTTTTTCAGTCTTTTTTACATAAAAATTTACATTTGGATACATTTACCAAAGTAATGTGTTCTTTTTCTGTGCCTCTCTTCAAGTTGGAGGTGGAGGCTGGTCAAAGCTGCGTTTCCAACTAACAAAATAAATTCCCGCATGGAGACCAAGAGCCGATATTTAGCTGTGATTATGTTGCTGTAATTTGCTTTGATCGCTTTCGCTAGGGTGGTTGGACGGGCTGTTAATAAACACTGCTTCTGATAATTAAGTTTAAGACTAAAGTATAAGAACAGAAGTATAATATTTCTCCGCCAGCAAATATTAAAATGAAGGCTGAATAATTCGACACCACTGGCAATAGCAAAACCTCCTTTATTGGCACAACGTTTCAGCCATGAGTTTTGGCCCCTTATCAAGTGCACTCCAACTAATTCAAACGGCGCACAGCATGTGGTTAAATGCTATCGGACACCACTGTACAGAGCAACGATAAAAGAATAACGCAGGGTAACATTTTTATGTGTTAAGTATGTGTAAACAGGCTTATAAATTAAAGTAACCGTTGCAGTAAAGTACATTTAAAGTAAAGTTGAGTCAGATAAATTAACTACATGGGTTAAATAACGTAGATTAAATAAGTAAAATAGATCCCTACGTACATTTGAATTACTGTTAGGCAAAGCCTATGTCGCTCTAGACAGCTGTCATCATTATAGAAATAAGACTGGGATTATGTAGGTCAACGCATTGGAGGAACCAACAGTTCAGAACAATTCGAAACAAATGAGTAAACATACATAAAGAGTTCTAGGTGATGTCAATAATCCTCTCGTATACCCCCGCCCAGACAGCACATCCTGTGGATGTCCTGGGAACATTCTTAGGACACAAGGACGTCCAGAGGATGTCTTTAAAACGTCTTCAGGAGATCTGTGCTGTCTGGGCGGCAAACTAAAGTATAAGTATAATTCGAAAACACTGACTCTACACGACTATAACGCTACTCTCAGCGAAAACCGTCTTAACGCCTTCACGTAAAAGGCGGAGACAAGTTTAAGTCGTGAAAGTCTCTTGTATAAGTCCCTTTCCTAGTAGCACAGTGCAGTGGTTAAACATTGGTTAAACATTGGCCCAACATTTGGGTCAATGTTTAGCCAATGCACTGTGCCACTAGAGTTGCCTTACGTCTACGACTTAAGACAGTCTTAAGCGTTTACGGATCGTTCTCCGCCGTCTCGAGTCTCAAGGCGTCGCGCGATCATCTCATTGGCTGGACGGATCCTTGGAATCTTCCTTGAGCATGGGTCGTCTCTAATCCGATCCCGAGTACAAGATCGCGCTATGAATACCGGCTCTCAGGTTCCAGCATAACTCTAGAAACTACAATGCAGAGTACCTTTCTTTCTTTTTAAATACACTGGTACAAACATATTAATTACAGAAACTAAATACTGTCTGTATTTGTGCGTCTCTCTCCGGACAAATAATGAGTGCATCTTGCGTATCCACATCTAAAATGAAAGAAATCCAAGAAACTGTATATCTGCGTATCTCTTCACGCTCAATAAACTGGAGGTTCAATTTGCATCTTTGATGGAAAAGAAAAGTCAAGACAACGAACTCTGCTACGATGTTAATCTTCCTCATTTCGCTCTCTCTCTCGGGATCTCGACACGTCCTTGACTCCCGATCGAAACGCTATTAATTTCTCGCGCCTGTCGTTATCGAGCGTATTCGCCGGAGTGCATTCACCCGGAAACTACCCCCGGCAGTACGCATGTCGCGCGTCCGTCAAAGGGGGCGGCTCTCGTCCCGTCGAGTCGGCTCGGCTCCGAAACACCCTCGCGGCAAAGCCGTGCTCTTCGACCTCTCTCTCTCTCTCTCTTTTCCCCTAATGCCTAATCCCATCCGCTTCCTTTTAAACGCAGAATGAAAGCGTGACGCGGTGTATACGTCGCTCCGTCGAGCTCTCCTCGCGCGCAAGCGCGATTTGCAATGTCAAACGGACCAACTCTCTTCTTCCGTCTCTCTCTCTCTCACCGTGCGTTAGATAATCGTTCTCGTCGAGCGAAACGCACCTCGAGCATGACGCCGGCCGCGGAGAACGCGCCGCGCGACCGCGCTCGTTGACGCTTGGCCCCGCCACGCCTGTCCTCACCGCCGTGTGTGCGCGCGGTTGACGGAATGCCAGTGAACGCGTCCGCGGCTTCGCCGGCCCGTTGCTCCGTGTGTACGAGGTACCCGGCGGGACGCCGCTCCCCCACGAGCCGCGACTCCGCGCGCTGATCAAGCACACGTCGACTCCGAACGCTCATGCATCCGCGCGTTGCGCACCCGATCCCCGGAGTTGTCCGAGTCGTAGGTAAATGAAGTACGTAGAGGGATGAGACTCGTACTCCGGTACGTTATCAGCTCGCATTTGAGTAACGTGCTCTTAACACCTTAGATAGACGATAAGAGGAACGAGGAGCAGAGATGGTACGCGTGATAACGGTGCACAACTTCCCGGGGCAGAATGTCGCCCAGATCGAGGAGCCGACGGCGACGTGCACGGCCGCCAGCCAGGGTCGGGAGATGCTCCTGCTGGCGCTGCCCACGCACTGCGTGGAGGTGTGGGAGCTGACGAGCTCGGACGTCAAGCTGCGCACCGTCTTCCCCACGGTGGACATGATCAATCAAATGGCGCACTGCGCCAAGGGTGACTACGTCGTGACGCTGGAATCAAAATATCTCAGAGACACCGCGAGCAATAATCATGCAAATAGAGCCACTTGTAATTTTGTAAGGATTTATGTCAATTGGGCCGTAGCGAAGGACCAGAGTCAGCCGATGCGGGCCAGGATCGCGGGGCGAGTCACGCCGAGTCTGAATCGACCCCTCAACAGCTTGGAGATGATAGAGCTGCCGCTGAGCGTGCAGCCCACGCTGGTCGCCTGCTGCCAGTGCACCGGCAACCTGTTGGTAGCCTCCGGGAGCAGCGCCATTCTGCACGAGTTCAAGATCGAGACGCAGCAGGTGTCGCGGATCAAGTTCATAGACTTCGAGCCTAGACCGTGGTCGTTGGGATTCACGTTCACGCCTGCGCGCATGGAGATGACGGAGGATTTTATAGCCATCATGGATAACGCGAACCTATCCGTCTTTCGTCTCGCGAACTCGATGTACGAGGATATCGACCAACTTAGCTCTTTAACTTCCACTTCTTCTTCCGTCGACAAGACGTCCATATCCACAGACTCGTCTCTCGCGGAGAACAGCGGTAGTCTTGGCAACGACGACGCGTCGACAAACGTGAGGCACAAGTCTGCAGACCAGGATTGCCAGTGCGCGACACCTGAAAGTAACGAGACGGTTGTGACCAACGTGAGGTCTAAGGATAAGAAGCACAGGGGCACGAAAGGCAGTACGTGGTACAAGTCGGAGGTCGGCGATTTCAACAAAGCGAGGGCGAGTAGCAATAAGAATTATATAGACTGGGAGCACCTGATATCCAACGAGAAAGACGAGATGCAGAGGCTGATCGCGCAGGGAATTGTCGATCCCTCGTCGCAGTCGTTGACGGTGAATCTGCCACTGATAAGCTTGGAGAGGGCTGGCCCGGGTCACGCTCTCAGTCCCTTCATACTAAACTCGGCGGACACGAGGATCTTCATCAAGACAACTTCGCCCGACGTGGGTTGGTCTGAAAATTACACGATAAAGAATGTACTGTGTTTAAAGATCAACGCTGGTAACGATAGCACCAAGGTGGACGGGATTCTGGAGGTCTTCAAATGCCTGGTGTTGAAACCGCTGTACGTGAGGAAGGAGTGTAACACCTCCGGCGTGAAGAAATCCATGTTGCGCTCCGACAAGTACAGATACCTGCAGGGCGTGAGTTGCTTCGTTTGCACCACGCAGGAGGGATACCTGTATCACTTCTCGGCGGCGAGCGGCGGCGGTTCTCTGGACGCGACGTGCCTGACCACTTATCCGTTCACCGCGCCCGTGCATCACGCGGCGCTGGAGCACACGGTGCTTCACGCGTTGACCGAGGCCGGCCTCGAGTCCTACACGCTACGTCTCTCTCATCACATCGCGAAATCGTCGAACGGCACGGACAGCCTTCGAGCGACCTGCCCCAGCGCCGTCGAGCCGGTAAGCCTGATCGGTCTGCGGCCATTCCTGGGAATACAGAGACTGTTGCATACGAGAAGCTACTTGGTTCTGCTGGCCAAGGCCGACAGTTGTTGGACCATGTACTCTTTGAACCTACCTAAATTCGAAAACCTGTATTTTGACATATTGAATGCGGCGAGGAGTCACAAGTCCTCCAGCCCGAGCACCTATCGACACTTGCTGGGGGAGGCGCACGCCTTGATACGCTTGGCGAAGGACGTTCACAGCGATAGCGCGGATAGCGAGGAGTTCGACGAGGCGGCGCACAAGAACGAGCTCAAGCTGAGAAACCTCTACAATCAGTCGTGCGCGTTGCTCGCGGATTACTATATACGATCGGAGACAGAGTCGGATTGGGACCTGTGTATTCCCTACTACAAGATGTCCGGGCTGAAGCCTTCGGAGGTATTGTCCAGGAAATGCAGCCAGGACGCACCGGGACTCCTAACGTTCCTTACCGATGCGCTCCTCACGATGAAAAGCGGATCCGAGGCGGACGCGCTTTTCCAAGGGTACAACATCGTAGAAATCATCTGTAAGCTGGAGAAGGACGACCTGCTGAAACTGATCTTCGGTAGTCCCATGCTGAGGGAATACGCCACGGAGAAGCTGATAAATCTACTGCTGACGCACGAGAGCGACGACGTCGTCAAGCTCGCCCTGGCACTCCTGTACATTCAGGTCGACAAGCAGAAACAAGCGGAGAAGGCGCTGGAGCCGGTTTCCGTGCGGTGCATCAGGCAGATTGTCCTGGAACGCTGGGAATTGCTGTTCGACATGACCGCGATGAAAAAGAGGAGTCCTATGATCGCTACCTTCTCGGACTTCGCCGGTACTTTGATGCTCATAAAGAACACCACGTTTGCCGACATCCTGATACAATTGATAGAAGACGAAGACGCGCTGTCGTTGCACCAAATCATACAGGTGTTCCTGGAGTACTTGCCGTCGCGTGTCGGCAGAGACGGGCACAACGCGGCCGCCACCCTGCAAGTTTTCCTCGAGAAGTATCTGCATAATTACTTCAGCTCGAAACTCCTGGTGGAGTGGCCGCCAGCTGTAAATAAAAGTCAGATACGCTCGGACTTTGCTCTCGTTGAGGCGTTCAAACTATTGGTGCGATCGTACCTGGGTAAATTATCTCAAACGAGGGTGTACCACATCGACATCAAAGAGGATCAGGGAGAAAATGATAAGGAGTACTTTATGTTCGCCAAATATCGGCCGAGCTATTTGAACAAGATGCCACCGTACGCCAAAGATTACCAGAAGATTTTAGGCATGAACGACTTCAAGGATCTAGAAAATTTTAACAACGCATCCGAGACCGAGAGGATTATACTAAAGGAATTGTTTAAGCTGCAGTCCGTACTGTCGTGCGAGTTTCTGCCGATCGAATGCTTGCACGAGGTCAAGCAATTTCTCGAAACGCAAAATATCGATGGGAGTTTATCTCTCAAGATATTATGCATTCAGAATACGGAAGAGGTGACGACAATTCTAATGGACAGTTGTCCACAGGCTGTAGTGCAGTATGCGAAGGTATGTTTAACGTACATGTAACAGTGATCTTTATTCAAATCAGTTTGCCAGGAGATTTATTGTCTGTTGACTATGTCGCAGGATAAATATTCCAAGGACACCGAGTGGAAGCATCTTATTGAATTAACGCAGGACAAAATTGCCACTTTGATGACGCAACAGGAGTTACAACTCTTGTACATGCAGATCATGAAAGGTGAGTCTCGAACACGCTAAATACGCCTGAATATTAATATGAACGAAATATGAGATAGTATTTTAAAATAACCTTCTTTCCGAATTTACAGAGATCTTGAATTACTTGCCGCATGCATTACCCATGAAAAGTCTACATCGCATCTTACCGAGAGATGACATGGCAGCATTTCAAAGATGCACCGAAATGTGCAATCAGATCATGCATGCGGATCATGTGAAATCGTTGATAATGGAAACCGGACAGCAACTTTTGACAACTCTAAAGTTGTGAAGATAGGTTCCCATTAAATATCATTTGTTAGCTAATTTCTAGACAAGGAAGTGATAATACTAAGGAATTACGAATATAAAATTCGGATATCACGCTTTAACAATGATATCACGGAAGACTACTTTGTGTGCACTTATACTCGCAGATTAACCATTTCTACAAACGTTTCAGAAATATGTTCCTGATTAATGCAGTCACGTAAACTGATGTTCGTTAGTTGATAATTGTGCTGGTGCACGCATTTTTAACGATAAATAACTTTCATCAATTATTACCAAAAAATTCGAAGGGAGATATTATAAATAGAATTTGTCTATAATTAACTGTTGAATCGTTCTATATAGATATATTATATTATGACTAAAAATGTAAAATCTGTGCCAGAGCAAAGGTGATGTAACTTAAACACATGGAGATTGACATAAAACAGTGTATACAAAAATTAGAAATTTGGAGCACATTATATCTATATGAGAAAATGTTTATAATTATTTACTGGTTGCATTTAGAAATAATTATACGGATGTTTGAACGCTCTACACAGATATCAAGATTTTTCAAAGTCAATTATCAATTGAATTCGTTCTGCTCTGGAACAGAAGGTATGTCTTTAGTGAAATGAATTTTACTAAAATAGTTTTTATCAAATCTGTTGATCCTAACGAATAGTTTTATGTAATCAATTTTTGAGTGTTACAAAACATGTAACTTTGATGTGCCTTTAGCAATGATTTCCCCTTAATGTAAATCTAATTATGTTAGAATGATTAATAATATTTATAATTCATCACAAAAAATAAATACATAATAATCTAGCAGGTGCTATTTATCTTGTACCTTCTTCACGATTTTTATCCCTTAGCAATCGATAATCACTATTAAAATTATTAATAGAAAAAAGCATAAATTTTCAAATTTTTATTAATGTTACAATAGTATTAACATAAAGTTTTAATAGGCAATAACAATTTTGTGGTAAAATAAATTTATAAATTAAGATAATAAATCTGGATCAAAATTTTGTCAACAATTAGAATATTTTCAAACAAATAGAAATAAATTATGTAATATCGTAACAATTTCGCAACAGATTTTAAACATATTTATATCTATTTTCACGAAAATATTATTAGGAATGTAAGAAATTGACAAGTTTACATAGTTGTTGTAAATTGCCTGAAGTATTGTTAAACTGATATATTGTACAAGTTGCAAGTTATATGTAGCATTAATAATAAGTGAGCTAGTCGTCCCAGATTTATATTTCTTATATATACAGAAATATTAAAGTTAAAGAATCAGTACAATAAAAGTATAACACCATCTTGAACGTCATCTATCTATCTATATATACATTCTCCGCATTTAGTCGACTGAAGTATTCCAGAATTTAGTTTTGCTAAATGCTAGAATGTATTGGAAAAAATGTTCTATTACTTTTTATTGATTACCTAATCCGAATATATTTCTGTCCACAATAGTCCACATGAAAAGGAATCGTTGTACGAATGCATGTGCCCCTTCTACATTATTTCAAATTCCTTGTTCAGTTTTGGCAAATCTCTGAAAGTATGCAGATATTTTACATACGAATAACTATTATCGAGTGTAGAACAATTTGTATAAAATATTGCATAAGATGTTACCTGTTTTCTATAGCTTCCATCAACTCGTATTTATGCATCAAGGATATAACTAATCTTAACGTAGACCATATTGTGTTTGACATTGCTTTAGGAGGTACACTGCTAGCCTCCGGACCTCTCCCAGCAGCTTGTTGATTCAATGCAGTCAATAGATGCTCGCCTGCCTCTCTGTAATATCATCATTTTGCTGATACATTGCTATTCTTTTTCTTGTCGCTTGAGAATTATAGTTAAAAAAATATGTATTTACTTATACGCTCCAAGATTGACGCAAGATATGCCCAGATTGTAACGTGCTCTAATGAATCCAGGCGACAATTCTAAGGCACGATGATACGCATTTACAGCTTCCGCCGATCGTTGGCCATTCGCTAAAGTGGCACCCAGCCTATTCCACAATCTGGAATCCTTTCCAAAGAACATAAATTCGAACATGTCTGTTGGACTCGTCACGACAGAGATAGATTGCACTTACGTCAGGGCGCACGTGCAATGCTGCCTGGAAACAATCTACAGCTTTGTTGTAATCGTTTGATAAATTAAACAATATACCTAGTCCACACTGTACGTCCGCGTCAATTTCATCCGTGGGATTTATTCTTGCGGCTTGAATATACAGGTCCTTGACTTCATCGTATACTTTGCTAGAAAGAAAAGATGGCACATAAAAAAATATTCCGATAAATTAAAAAATTACTTTTGACTTACTCATACAACAAAGTAGACACGCTTAAGTTCGGGTGTTCTTCTTTCTTAAGATTGGATTCTGGACCTGCAAGATGTTTGTACTTTTCATTTTTCAGCAACCACTCCTTCAATGTCAGACAGGCTTGCTTTTGATAGGACTCGTTCGCGTAAGAAGCTGCTAGCGCCATGAGAGCAACGCTGTTCGATGGATCCAAACAGAGACAACGATTTAAAGCAGAGATGGCCAAAGGATCCTGCTCGTTTTCAGCTTGCGTCTTGCCAAGGAGTAGCCAAGCCTCAATGCTATTTTCATCCTGTTGGGCGGCAGCTTCAAAACAGAGTACAGCGCTCGGTAAATCTCCAGCCTCTAATCGCCTCTTGCCTTCTGCCAACGCATTTGGTAAATCCTTCATAGGATTCGTCTCAGAAAAATCATACTCCTTATTAAATGGATCGTAATACGTGTCGAATTCTGATACCCACGGATGCGCAGAAGAGAGCCCGTCTGCCGAGACCTTGTCCCATTCGTTTTGAAATCGTTTCCATAACGATTCTATATTGTCTTCTAAAATGTCAATAGATATTATTCTTATATCAATGTTGGCACTTCAAGATAAATGTATTGGGTCTGTGCGCAAGTCCGTGCCGATTTTGCGTTTGAAATTTACTCGATTTCCGGCACGGACTTACGCACAGACCCAATACTTATTTTTTGGGGAAAAAATTGAAAATAATTTACCCGCAACCGGATTTTTCTTTGTAAATTCGTCTACCCAAGTACCCGCAACTTCTAATTCCTCTTCTACTTTATTCAACACATTGTCATCGTTGACGAGACTGCGCCTGAGTGCATTCAGATCATCTTCCTCCATCGCAGCATTAAAATGCACTACCCACTCCTCGTCCCTTAACAAACTTTTCTTCACCTTCTTCACATCTTCTATTATTTCCCTATTATATAGATCTACCCACTCTTCGTGCGTTAACAAACACCTCCGTACGTCCTTGGAAAAATCATCATGAATTTGTTCTATCCACTCCTGGGGCATTTTACTCAACGCCACTTGCCTCTCTGGATCGTCACTTTCTTGGTGCATAAATTTCATAAACTTTGAATATGCAATGTTTGGGTCGTCCTTCTCACATCGAATGGTCTCACTTCTTGCATCGTCCTGCGCGGTATTACATTCTAGAAAATCTTCTGCCCATTTTGGATTCAGACCCAATTCGCTAATCTTCTTCATGTCTCCCTCTACGCAGTGCCGCATTTCTTCCGCCACAGCCTTCTGTAATTCATTTGCAACAACGTAAACAACCTTGTAATGCTACGAATAAACAATAATCGCACTCGGCGATAGATCTCGTGAAATTACATCTATTGCCTCTAGAGCGTTGGGTGGTATATTTTTGTAATTGGTTGCAAAAATTTGGTTGATGTCATTCTTAAGTCCTTGCGCCAGGGCCAACCCCTTTGGGCAGGCAACGTTCTGGTCGATCTCCCTCATCTCCTGCAGCAGACCGTCCATCCGAAACGTCTGCGGACACGCAGGCTCCTCCAGGAACTGCTGGACCATCTGATCCGCGTTCGGCGGTTGGGACGCCTCTGGCGGACTGAACGGCTGACGAATTCCTTCCTCTTTGAAGCCATGATCCTGCACGTAGTGTGACGCAAGGTGTGCCAGCGAGCTGGCGCCTCCACAGTCGCCTTCCACTAGGTCACGAAATGCCATCTTTTTCTATCGTCACTGGCTTCTACCTGGAGAAACGAAACGATTATTGTCTCGACTCTTTGTACACCCCGCAGAAATATTGTTGCAGCAAATATCAAACGTACGTTTAAGTACAGCCCGACTTGAGAGACAATTAAGGCGTTCTACTTTTTATCTGGCAAATAAGGACGCACATCTTATGTCTACGGGTACGTAATGCAGAAAATTATAGGGAGCTGCATGCGGGACCGAGGTCAGTGTATGACACGCGTAGAGCTTTAGACGGCGACATTTGGACCTCGCGTCACGCGCGGACCGAGGGGACGGCCCGCAGCGGGCGCCGATCGTAAAATGAGAACGCTCGTCGGGCGAAGTTTGGCATTAGTCAGCCAATTTCGTCGGGGGGACGGGGCCCCCCCACGAACGCGGAAAAATGACAATCGACGGAATCACCTCGGTGTTTCCCTCGCCGCGCTCGTCCGTCCCGTTCTTGTTGTGATGCGCCTCAAGTTACCGTGACGTGCACTCGTCCAGGAACAGGGGGGGCCCCGAGCGAAATTTCGATGATCGAGACTTTGCACCGGAACAACTGGAATAGAAGGGGAAGGAGGGTGATACGAGGACTGGACTCGTCGATCGAACGCGCGCAATAGATCGGGCGAATAGGCGCGCGCGCGCGCGCGCGAGCTAGAGAAAGAGAGGGAGGGGGGGGAGAGAGAGAGAGAGAGTGAGAGAGAGAAGAGAAGAAGAGAAGAGAGAGAGAGAGAGAGAGAGAAGAGA